ATAGAGGGGCAGTGTTCATCTGGGCCAGTGATTGGCAAACCTCGGCTTGCGAGCCACATGCGGCTCTTTGGCCCCTTGAGTGTGGCTCTTCCACAAAATACCGTGGCCTGGGCGAGTCTATTTTGAAGAAGTGGCGTTAGAAGTTTAAGTTTAAAAAATTTGATTCTCAAAAGAAATTTCAATCGTTGTACTGTTGATATTTGGCTCTATTGACTAATGAGTTTGCCAACCACTGACCTAAATTACTTAACATAGAGAAGTCCTAGAAGCAGTTCAAGGAGTGGCTGCTAACTTTACTGTGTGGTCATGGCTTAGGTCCTCACCATGTAATAGGGAAACGTTCCTTCTGTGCTGACTCGCACAGTAGCCACGAGCCACCTATGGTTCCTGAGTACTTGAAATATGGTTAGAATGATTGAGGTATTGAATTTTCGATTTAATTTAAATAGCTGTATATAATTAGTAATTCCTATACTGAAGAACGCAGGCTAAGCTCAAGGAGGTATAAAAGTTAAGGTAGGACTTTTCCTGTTACTTTAAGAAAGAGGAGGATTTGAATAGCTAATAAAGAAAAGCATCCCAGGAGAAGAAAAAGCATAAGTGAGTTATGCTCAATTCACACTGAAAGTATGAAAGTGTTTGGACATGGGTGTGTGAAAGTGCCCAGTGTTTGGATGAAGAATTGTGATGGGTTGTTACACTTGTACAGATCATACATCTGAGAGCTAGGATGAAACTCATCGGTTATTTCTTTTTCTTAAAAAAACCCAGGTATTATTGACATATAACATTAGTTTCATATGTACAACATAACAATGGCATTTAAATATTTATTTATTTATTTTTAAAAATATATATTTTATTAATTTCAGAGAGGAAGGAAGAGGGAGAGAGAGAGAAAAACATCAATGATGAGAGAGACTCATTGATCGGCTGCTTCCTGCAGGCCCCTGATTGGGGATGGAGCCTACAACCCAGGCATGTGTCCTTAGCCAGAATCAAACCTGGGACCCTTCAGTCTGCAGGCTGATGCTCTATCCACTGAGCCAAACTGGCCAAGGCTATATAATTATTTCTGTTAGTTCTCACCATGTGCCAGGCATTATTGAGTGGATTACATTTATTATTTCATGTAATTATTATTTTTAATTGATTTTAGAGAGGGAAGATGGCAGAGAAAGAAAAGGAAGGGGGGAGGGGGAGGCGAGAGAGAGAGAGAGAGACAGAGAAGAGAGAGGTGAGAAGCATCACTCAGTTGCCTCCTGTACATGCCCCAACCACTTTCAACCTAGGTATGTGCTCTGACTATAAATCAAACACATGACCTTCCAGTGGTGGGACAAGACTGCAACAAACTGAGACACACTGGCCAGGTCTCTAATTATTATAACAACCTTTTCAGGAAACTGAAGATGCATTTGGTGGCTCTGTAAGGGTAAGAAATCAAAGGCAGATAAGTGAAGCAATTATAATCATAGAGACATGTCAAAGGTACTAATAAAGGTGAGGAGGTAGAAATTAAAGAGCCCCACTTAAGACATTAGGAAGTTACACTCAACAGAACTTGATGACTGACCTCAGAGGAAGGGTGAATGAAAAAGGGAGTGAGACAATCTTTATCTCTAGGGATACTCATGAGGACAGAATGCTGGGGAACACCAATGATTCTGGGGTGAATGAAAGCAACTGAGTTAGCAAAGAGATTTTAAAAAGAATGTAGATGGTTGACAATGGAAATAGTTTAGTGGAGTTGAGCAATCTGATAGAGAAAATGTTTTCAAGAATCCTACAGGTGCCCTGACGGGTTTGGCTCAGTGGATAGAGTGTCAGCCTTCAGACTCAAGGGTCCCGGGTTTGATTCCAGTCAAGGACATGTACCTTGGTTGTGGGCACATCCCCCGGAGGGATATGCAGGAGGCAGCCGATCGATGTTTCTCTCATTGATGTTTGACTTTCTCTCCCTTTCCCTTCTTCTCTGTAAAAAAAAATCAATAAAATATATATATATATTTTAAAAGAAAGAACCCTACAGGTAAGTTAAATGTGAGGATGAATAAATGACAGAGAAACATGGAAGAGTTAAGGCAATTCTAACAAAAACTGAGGCATCAAGTAGAGGAAAGTTGGTTTTGGAGGGGAAATACAAATTCTGCATTTGACATGTTGATTGGAGGTAACCAGTCCTCTGGATGATGATGTCTTGCTGGTTGGAGGGAATGTGAAGTTGGAGTTTATGAAGCAGATCAGGGCTGAAGATTGTAATTTTTCCCCGCCAGGACAGAAGGTAAAGGGAAAAGAGAAGGTTGAGACTATAAACTGGGGATAAAACCATCCATCTAAGAAGGCTAAATGGGGACTTACGATCATTAACAACCACCACCATCACAGTCTATCCTGTGACTATCATGCGCTTATTATGGGCACCCTATATAATAAAAGCCTAATATGCTAAGTATCTGGTTGGCCAGTTGACCTTTCAACCAATCAAAGCGTAAATGCTAACGATATGCTGAGGCCGCTCAACTGCTCGCTATGACGTGAACTGACCACAAGGGGGCAGATGCTCTGACTGGTAGTTTAGCTTGCTGCTGGGTTCCTGATGATTGGGATTGAGTGAGATGGCCAGACATTTCCTGGAGCCCTCCCACAGTCCCTCCCTGGGCTGGCCAACCTCCCACATGCCTCTCCAGCCTCATCATGCACTTCTGGGGTCCCTCAGCCTGGCCTGCACCCTCTTGCAATCCAGGACCCCTCGAGGGATTTTGGAGAACCTGTTTTGACTTGATCCTGCTATACTTTGTTGCTAAACAGAGTATAGCAACTTTTGCTTAAACAAAAGTTGCTATACTTTGTTTAAACAACTTTGTTTGTTGCTTAAACAAAGTATAGCAACCAGGCCAGGGAAGGGACCCCAATGGTACATGAATTTCTGCATCCAGCCTCAGTTTATATATATTATTTCACTTAATTTTCCTAAGAATCTAATGAAGTATTAATTCCATAATAAAAATGGAAATTGTAGCTCAAAAAGGTTTTGTTGTAATTAAATAAAAAAGATTGCCTATTATGCTGCCAAACTCTGTTCTGGGCACAGAATAGGAACAGTTAGGGGCCTGCTTTCATGGAGCTTTTATGGATGAGGCGCAGACAGAAAAAATAAAGCAAGTGAATAAATGAATCAGATAATTTTGGATTTAATAAGTGGTGAGAAAATTAGTGATATAATTTACGTAAAATAATAAAAGCGTAATATGCTAATTAGACCGGATGCAGCTGAGGGATGGAAACAGCTATTGGGGCTGCAAAAGTCTACTCTTGGGTGAATTTCATGCATCGGGCCACCAGTATTATAATAAATAGGATACAGCAATGGAGGAAGGTGAGCGAGAGTGTAGAAGCTATATTAGTGTGCTCAGGGGAGGACCCTCTAAGGCGGGACAAGTGAGCTGAGAACTTTAGGAAGGGAAAGGTGGAAGTTTTCCAGGCCAAGGAAAAGGATAAGAGCGCAGATGCCCGGGACAGTACTAGTTGGGATACTGAATCCACGTTAAGGTTGGGGCAACTGTATGAAGCTTAGTGAGCAAGCGGGGGGTTGGAGAGGACACCAAATCAGGGGAAGGAGTTACACAACGGGGGAGAAGTCGATCCGATTCAATGGACTAAGGCACCTAAGAGGCAGAGGCCAGGCTGTCCGGCTTTTCCACGAGTTTCCATTCCGCGAAGCTGCGGGTACATGACTAGGGGGTGAGGCAACCCATCAGGAAAGGTTCCAGAACCTGGGCCAAAGGGAAGAGGCCCGTGGAGGGTTGGGGGTGCAGAATGGGACCTCATGGTGTCGCAGGCGTAAAGGCAGCACCGCCCTCGCGCCTAGTCGTTCCTGGCAGGGGTCCCGCACGTAGCTCCTGCCACGGCGCCCCCATCTCCCCGCCTTTAATTCTAGCAGGCGCCCCCTGCCCGGCCTGGCTTGGTTTTTTCGACCGCGGCGGTGAGTTCGTCTTCCAAAGCTTCGGAAATGACAGTCTCCCCCCCCCCCGAGTGACAGGGAGATGGACTGATGGATGGCTAGGAAGAGCGCCCATGGAAAACAGGCCGTTTCATTTCTGTTTTGTTTTATCTCACGGCTTTGCAGAAACCCCTCGCTTTCCGGTTTGCTCTCCCAAGTCACCCCCCTCCAACAGCAAGACTCTTGGTTTGGCCTCTGGGCCCGGATTGGCTGGAGGTTTACGCCTCGGCTCGCGATTGGAGGACGTTGGTTCCTTCCGTAGTCCTCGCTTCCCATAGGCTCGTTCGCCCGGTTTCTGGGCGGGGTGGCTGGGAACGGTTTCCACCCTCTTGTTTACGAAGCGCGCCGTTGTGGCGCTGTCAGCGCGCCGGGGCTGTCCCCAAAGTTCCCTAATGTAGCTCCTCCGACCAATTGGGTCCTGGCTCCGCCCTCGCCGTCTCCCGCACACACTTCCCGCGTGGTACGGCCCTCACCTGTGGAGCGGCGCGAGCGCACGCCCGCCGCCTCCCTCCGCCCTCGCTCGCCGGGCGGCTCCCCCTCGCGGGAGCGCTTGGTACGGCCCGCGCCGCCTCCTTCCCTCGCCGGGGTGGCTTCTTCCCTCCACCCCCCCCCCCTCCTTCTCGGGTCGGCGGCGGCTCTTGGTGCCGCCCTGGAGAACCAGGTCATCGGCCGGTTCCCGTGAAAACAAAAACAATCGGCGGGTAGCCGAACGCCGCGCGCGGGGACGGACTTGAGGCGCGGGGCCGGGTGGGGCCGCCAGCCGGCGCGATTGCGACGCGCCAGAGGCCGCGCGCCATGGGGCAGCCGGGCACGGGCTCCGCGGGGCTCCCCCGGCGCCGGGGCTAGCCGTAGCGCGCCCGTCGCCTCAGCCTCCCGCGCCGCCCGCCCGCCCGCCCGCCTGGGGGACCAGGAGGAGGACGCGGCCTCGGCCGGGCCCGGGCCGAACGGCTGCGGACGCCCGGGCGCCGGGGAGCCGAGCGCCGCCGCCGCCGCGGAGATGGATCAGTGCGTGACGGTGGAGCGCGAGCTGGAGAAGGTGCTGCACAAGTTCTCGGGCTACGGGCAGCTGTGCGAGCGCGGCCTGGAGGAGCTCATCGACTACACGGGCGGCCTCAAGCACGAGATCCTGCAGAGCCACGGTAGGGCGGCCCGGGTGGGCGCGCGGGGCCCGGCCCACCGCCCGCGCCCCCGTTCTCCTCCCCCCCCCCCACACACACACTCAGGCCCGGGCAGGTCGGAAGGGGCGCCCCCGGAGTTGGTTCCCCGCCTCCCCGAGGTGCGAGGGCCCTCAGCCCCCTGTGACTTTTCCTCCAACCCGCCCGACCTCGTTGTTAATTGAGAGCGAGCGCGAACCCGTGCAGAAGGAAGCCTGTCCCGGAGCCTCGTGCCTCAGCCATGTCAGCCGCGCGTGGGGTGGGCGCCGCACCTGCAAACTGCTGCCTGCCCGCCCCGGGGGGACCCATGGGTGTTGGTCACTTTTTCTTCCCCTGCTCCACATCCTTGGCTGGGAACTCAGTTTCTTCTTTATTTTTTAAATGAGAAAGTCGAGTGGTATTCTTAGCTGTGGGTTACACAGTGGCTCCTGCAAACTTCACAGTTGGACCGATGGGGAAGCAGCTCCTCGCGCTGACAGGATCCTATAGAATGAGCTGCATTACACCCGGCGGCCCTCCTAGGGTGGCCAGGGCTGAGACCGGGGAAGAGCAGGCAGACAATTCTCCCCGGAGCAAATTGTGGGAGAAGTGTTTCGTTATTTGCCTTAATCGAGTTTTTTTTTTGTTTTTTTTTTTTTAGCAAACGCATTTTCTATAGAAGGTGTTTTATCTGGGTTATTTCAGTATTGTCTTAGGCCCTGGAGGGCGGACACTGTCAAAGTTAACTTATGATAGCTGGTTGAGAAGGTTTTTTTCTTCTCTCTTTCTTTCTTCTTTCTTCTTTCTTCTTTCTTCCTTTCTTTCTTTCTTTAAAATAATATTAAAGATCTGTTTATGCTTCCACTAAAATAGTCAAAGTGATGATTCCTTCTGATCAAGATGTCTAGGGCCTTATTTAATAGGCTTATTCAGGATGCTGGGATAAATCGTAGGCCGGACAGAAGTTTATGTAAAGGAAGGTATGGTGCGAAATGCAGGTACTTGTGGCCGCTGAGATGAGGGCAGTGGTGCTCCTGGATCTCTCTCCTCCTCTCTTCCTTCTCTCCTTCATTATAATACACCTTCCTTTCCCAGGTGGCTTTCAGGTGAGAGTAAGTGCTAGTCCCTGGGTAGGGAGCCTTAGCAACATCTCATTCTGGACTCCGCATCACTTTTGAGCCCCTGGGAAGAAACAACCTGCCACCATAGTGGGGTAGGAGTTGAAATGTTCCTATGGAACAAGGAGCAGACCTAGAGCTGCCTGTGAAGGGGATGGAGGTGGATTAGGCTGGGAATCCTGGGGAGGGTCTGCAGAGTTCGGTTTTGGTCATGAGAAATAAAGCAAAAGCAAAGAAAGGCTAAAGAAGATCGGGTCCAGGGCTTAATGTTTACTGCTGGCTGAGGATGTATATAGATGGTGTTGGTCTGGAAAAGAACTATCATTTTTTTAGCTCATTTGCCACAAGTTCAAGGATTGTACTGAGCCCTAATTCTTTAATCATTTTATTAAACTTTAGGTTATCTTAACTTCCCCAGCTCTGAGGGAAGAAGAGAGCACTCTTGCCCTTTAATTGTACCAGCCTTTTAATGAGAGTTCTCCTGTAAGTAAAGTTTGGTCTAATTTAAGATTCCGTAGGTGCTGTTTGATCTTTCTTACTGTGCTTTTGATCTAATTTGGATAATGCACTGATGCTTCTCAAACTTCACTTACACATATGCACTCTTATTTTTCAGATGGACTCATGATTTAACTTAAGTAGATTTGTCCTCATTCTAGGCAGTGAAGTCATAGGTTTGGTGTGTTTGGTATAATAAACTACATATTAAAAATAAATCAATAATTATTAAAATATCTATATTCAGGTAAAAGCACCATTCACATCAGTGGAATGGGAACCACACTTTGGACAACCATTGATTGACAGATAAATAGTATGGATAAATTTTGGTGATTTGATTTCTGAATGCTTTTAAGCACTTTTTTTTCTATTGGCAAATATATATTTTCATTTGTTGTGTAAGGGACAACAGAAAAGAATTATATTTTAATATATTCTAAATTCACTTTTGGTTAAAGAAGAATAGACAAGCAGTTTTATGACATGTTTAAAGTGTATTTGGGAAAATACAACCTTTGTAAGAGTAAAGTCTGTACAGTATTTAAAAAAATATTTTTATTGATTTCAGAGAGGAAGCGGAAGAGGGAGAAAGAGAGAGAAATATCAGTGATGAGAGAGAATCATCAATTGGCTGCCTTCTGCACACCCCACACTGGGGATCGAGCCCACAACCTTCGTATGTGCCCTGACTGGGAACTGAACCGAGACCTCCTGGTTCATAGGTTGAGGCTCAACCACTGAGCTGTGCCTGCTGGGCTCTACAGTATTTTTATATTATTAGTTTTAGGCTGTTATTAAAAGAAGTTCTAACATGGTTTCTGAAAGTGATTCTCAAGGATTTTCTAAATTTAAATTTTATCTATTTGGAGTAAATAGTACATTCAAATGATATGCTCTCAAATGACAAAAAAGGATACCCAGTAAAACCTCCCCGCTTCTTATTCATTGCCCACTTCATTGGCTATCTCACAAAGATGCTTATTTCCAGAAAAAAATTTAAGAGAGTTCAGGTAAATAATAATTTGTCATTATTTTTACTTTGAGGCACTGGACATGTAATCCTACTTACTGTGATTCAGGCTTAGTATTATCTCAATTTGCACGTTGGTAGAGACAGTTTTATTTGTGGGAACTTTCTAAAGTTTCTTTTTGTGTGATGTGTGATCTGACTCCTGGTAGTAAAACTCTTTTAAACCACGATCTTCGATCTTTATTTATTTTTTTGATGAATCAAAGAGAATTTAGTTACTATTTGTGGAAGTACTGTTTCTTTTTTCTTTTTCTTTGTTTCAAGTAATTTGAGGGTGGCAAATGAGTAGGCAAGTAGGCAATTAAGCACGAAAGAAAAAACAAGTTATGGTGGTCACATTTTATTTCTGTGATTGGTATAAGGGATACTGTTAAGAATAATGGCCAAGTTTTGAATTGAGTAAATAAACTTTGATATCTAGTTTAATATCTAATCTGGAAAGTAGCAAAAAAGTAGGCCAGCAGAGTTTGGGTGGATAACAGTAGCCATTGTTCAGATACTCTAAGAGGAGAATAGACTAGTAACCAAACTACTTGAGCTATTTTAGATGGTCAGAATAGGTCATTGTTGGTGTTTCTAGTGGGTTTAGAAGCAGATTTAACTTTGTCAGCCATTCCTTTCCAGGTTCATTTAGGAGGTAATTCTTTGTTATTAGGCACCTTACTCATTCACACTAGTATGTTACCCATGATTCATTTGGTTGCAGAGGGCAGAATCGTTTAAATTAAAATGGAATTTGTTGACTCATAACTAGGCAGAAGTTAAGCCAGGCTGGCTTCAGGGGCACAAAGGATGTCGTAAAGACTGGACTTCTGTTCTCTGCCTCTCTGCTGTGCTGTCCGTGGTTTTTTTCTCAAAGGAGCTTTCTCCATGTGGAGGTCAAGATGTGCAATATAGCTCATGTCATCCTTACTGCTGGGGTCCCCAAAGACAGGAATGTGTCTTTTGTCTGCATTTCCAACAAAATCACCAGGAAATATCCTTCTTGTCTTGTTTGGGTCATATAAGCCTCTCCCTGAATCAGCAACTGGGGGCAGGGCACGGAGTCTGCTGGCCTTCTTGGTCTGTGCTTACTTACCATGTGTGTCAGTAGATGTATGAGCATGTGATCCATTGTGGATCAACTAGAGGACAGAGTTCTAGAAAGAACAACTTGCACCCAAGTCAAAAGGGATAAAAGGGATAGGTGTCTATTATAGATATATACAGGGGTGGGCAAAAGTAGGTTTATAGTTACTTGTATGGAAAATAATATAATAACTATAAACTTGCAAGTACTCACACCTGTAAACCTACTTTTGCCCATTCTTCTATTATCATTGTTACATCATATAAGTTACATCAATGGCAGTTACATCAAACTTCTTTGAGATCTAATCTTGAGTAGCCCAACCTTTATCTCTCAGTTTTTGCCTTGCTTCCTCACGATAATGTGTGTATAATTCAAATACTGGGTTGTTAGTATGACAATCTGTAGACTAGAGAAAACTTGATTCATGTTACCTTTGGGAACTTATTTGCCATCACTGCAATATTTGACATGACAAAATTATTTTCCTAAGATTATCTTATCTTTTAAGTAGTTTATAATTTCAGATGATAACAGGGAAAAACTTGCCAGCATTGCTGTGATAGTATCACACTCCAGCTAATAGACAAATTTCCATTGTTGTCATGTTTTATTCTGTTAGTTATTAAGATGGTGAAAATGGTGTTATAGCAAACTATTCACTTGGGGCATTAAAGCTGACTTGTTTTTATTTGGTGTCCTGCCTATTCATCTGTAAAATATTTGAAAATCACCCCAAAAAGGCAGTTTAGGGGAGAGTTGTAGAGGGCCCTGGCTGTGAGGTGTGTATTTGGAGCCCTGTGGTACTCCTTTAACTCCCAGAAGTTGGTAGATACCAGGAGATGATCTCTAACTGGGCATTTCTTAGAAAGCTCCAATAATTTGTGGAGAGTGGAAAACTCTGGCCTTCCCTTAGATTAGGTGCTAGCTTGATGCGTCAAGAATAGGGACTAGAGCCTCCCGCAGGATTTGAAGCTTTTAGAAATATGCTTTCACCTTATTTGGGCTTGGTGATTGCTTAGCTGAACTCGCAGTGATTCTTTGGGAACATTGTTTGGAGCCTTTCTTCACTTAAAATTAAGGCCTGAATAGTAATTTCTTTTTATACCAGAGCACTGTGTATTACTTTGGTAAGTTTGCAATATTTGTCGAATTCATATAGATTTACTGTCTTACTGATATATAAAGACATTTGGGTGGAGATAAGGAGAGACTTATTATTATTTTTTCTATGTGGGAGATACTTATTTTTAAGAAAAAAAGGCCTCAGTCCTCCAGGAGGCCAGTT